TTAATACTTTAATGAGATGTCAATTATTTAACGTGTTTCGGTCGATGTTGATTCGTGTATGTAGCCTCGACCTACCGCGCGGGAACAATCGAAATGCTTTGCAGCTAAACCGGAGCACGATTTAAATAACGCGATAGAATGGAAGATATCGCGCGTCGGGCAACGTGATTGGCGACAAATGTATTTCGCCTCGAGTCCGAGCAGATTTTTATCGTATCACGTCGTCAGGGGCATTGATTAGACTACTGCACCGTTCGTCGCATACATATCTGTGTATGCTACGAATCGATCGCGCAGTACACAGGAATTTTTTATTATGACCGTCAGTCATGCTCCACTACTGCGGGGGAGGGAGGGGAGTGGCATGTACTTGATTGGAACGAATTAAAGTTCAAAAAAGTCTTTATACGTGTATGTATGACGATGTGGTATGTATTCTTCATAGATCCAAGAATAACAATTCTCGTCCGTCTACAAAATTTTTGTCGCGTAAATGGATGACAATTTTTTTCATTAATATACCTGGCGTCATTACTTTTCAACATATTACTGAATTAAAATTTGATATATTGATACGTTAAACTCATTGCCTTGTTTATAATATCACATCAGCTTTTCTCATTGCAACAGTCGTCCAATCGGAAATCAATTATTAACATTTTTCCGTTTGTCAGTCAACGAAGTTCGACCGTCTAATTAATGCATTTGCTGTCAAGCCAATGATCCCAATGCATTTGTATCCCCTTTGAACAAATGCATTGCTATTTCCATCATTTATCCTCATAAACGATAACATCTCGAAATGCTCGAGATAACCGCCAGTCTATTGAAGCATGAGCTCATTATATGCGACTTATACGTGCAGAAATACAATGCGTATCGAAAGGGGGTATGACTTGGGGAAAAGGGACCGCGGTGTAACTATTCGCGGATTAATTCACAGTTCACGCCGATCTCTCGTCACGTTAACGTGTGGCGGCGCGGAAGTCTTTGTTTTCGGTCGAGTATGCTCGATTAACGTCGCACCAGCAATATTTTTTTCCGAGCTGCATGGACAAAGTCGGTCATCGGATATTTTTTTTTTTTCGGTGTATGGAATATAGCCCGTGTACGCACACGTGATCAGGGACATATTGCATGCGCACGCGAACCGCTTCGCTTGTATGCTGGACACAATCAAATGATTCTCTTTTTTTTTTCTTCTTTTTGCATCGTTTGGTATCGTATACACGGGAATGTGCGGCGTGACTTAACTATAACTCCGCACCCATTTGGCTCTTTTTCGCGTTCAGATTTACCGGCGTTGTTACTAGACACCGATCGTATGTGCAATGCGATGCGAAAGCGTCAATTTCACTTTTTATGAAATCGCGATACGAGTTTCCGATACTTTCGGATCATCATTCCGGTCAAATAATTTGTGTTTAGCAATCTTTTTGTGTTTTTTTATTTCATCACAATTTTCGTGCTGAAATACGAATAAATTTGATCGATGCTGTTCAGAACTTATATCGGAAACTTTAAATTTGACAGCTGATTGATTTTAATTAGGAGTACAGATTTTTAGAAGTCTTCTCCGATTGACAAATCAAACCGGACATTATTATATATCTGGTTTTTAAATATATCCAATTAATAAAATGAAAATTACATTATAAAAGGAAATCTATGGACAGAATTCGCAGCGAATTTTCAGCGACATTTCCTTATTTAAGAGCGTCAATAATCCTAAACTTATATCGCAAATTTTGTTTTTCTTTGCTAAACTGTTTTTATTACTTAACATTTTTTTTATATATATATATTGCATAATTTTTTTATTAAATTTTGTATTTAATCTAGTTGTAGAGTCTTACTATTTCTGTTCGGTTTTTTTTTATGTTAAATTTTGATTCTAAAGAGGAGGTATCTGGTAATTTAGACTTTTGGATATGACAATCCATCGGAACACTTCAAATTCCATAGATCTTAGTAATAGCAATGGCAAAAATGTGAAATAATTTTTGCGAGGTAATTGATTTAATTAATGTATGCATCGAATTTATTGCACGATCCTACCATCCACCTATCTAACACGGATCATCTCGCAAATTGATAACCGAGTATCAATAAGGCGTATGTGTTATATGATAATCCCAACAAATGACGTTGGGATACGGTCTCGTAACTACCGATGAGAGCCATGTGCACGCCCGATCGCCGCGTTTATTATTACAACGGTCGACATAGTATCTCGTGTTAGGCGTGAAACGGTCGGGCAGGTCAAGACCCCGTTCCTTATCCTGCGAGCTGGTCGGTGAAATGAATTCCTCGCGAGTGCCCGTACACATCCATATGCGCACTCCGCGTGTATACTTACACGCTCCGTTCCGTAGCGACATAAGCACTATATATATATACACAGCACTATTTATGAGTTATTAATGTCACTGAGAAACGACCCAGAACCAACAAACTCGTGGGATACTTCCGGTGATAGCGACACTGATAATCCATCTCCAATTCTGAAAACGCGTCCTCGCCATCACGCAGACTCACAACTTCTCGCCCTTTTTTTTCGTCTGTCGCATCCGGGTGCTGACGCTTTTGATTAGTGATCGTTATGACATGAAATACACGATTCAACTCGGTTGAGATAGCGACAAAACATGATTCAGCTTTTGAAGAGGAAAAGGAGTGTGATATAAAATATTATATTAGGTGTTGGAATTAATTCGTAGCGTTTTACAAGTGATGGGAAGTACTTTCATTAATGTATTTTTTAATGCTCATGTGAAATAAATAACATTCTTTCATTTAAAAACGCTACGAATTAATTCCAACACCTAATACAAAAAAATCATTCAAGCATTATCACTCTCTAAAACTTTTAGAAATCTCAATCTTAAAGATTGAAGTCATTTTTTTTTCAAGATTGGCTCAATTTTCATTTTTCAGAGCAAGATTTCACTCAAAAAAATTTATAAAAAATACATTGCATTTTATCTGATAGAATATTAATGTAAATGATGAAAGCTATTAAAGAATGTAATGTGTTCTCTTTAAATTTTTTATATTTTAATTCTCATGAGTTTAATAGCTAGTTAAATAGCTTTTCTAATATGATTAATATATACTTTTTATGCAATAATTAAATTTTACATATTTTTACACATTCCTTTAATTTTTAATTTATACAAAGTAATGTTATTGCAAAACTAAAATTATAACGCTCAAAATATAGAAATGCCTACATTATGAAGCAATAAGAAAAAAGGCTTTTGAAAGATAGTTAATAAATATAAGAACGATACATTTTAGATGAAGAAAGATGTCTCTTTATCGTTTGGCCGGGAAAAACGATACTGACTCATTTGTCGCGCTGGTACTTAACGGCAAGTTGGAACTTTTCGTGTTAATCTCTCTCAAGGTACCCCAACGGACTCGTTCCACGCCATGAAATAACATAAAACTTTTTGTTTCTCCGGAACCACCCTTCTGCTCGCACTCTTCCTTTCTCCGTGACGTCGCTCAGGACTTTTACTTTTAAATCATTCAGCCGATGCCCGTTACATTATTCAACCACTAAAACCTCGCTATGCGGATTTCTGGAGAATCTCAAGGATCCCTTCGTACCCTACCCACTTTTATCCCTTTCTTCGCTCTTAAACCCCTTCACCCCGCTGTGTATTTGCACGGCCGCTTCTTATTCTTCGATGTCGATGCGAATCGCGAAACTTCCCACAAAATTCCCTCAATAATTCTTGTCCATGCATTAGCATTATGGTCGCGTTATGGAAGTTCACGCGAAGTGAATTATTTGGCTTCGAGATTCACATCTCGTTTTTTTAATGTCATTTCTGTATGCTACATCCGTATATTATTACGGATCACTAGCATGATCTCAATAAGTATCAAGTTGGTTGAAATCTGGTAAACTACCAAATTTCTGCAGTAACATTTTATCAATAAAGAAGCGTTTGAAAGAATCAAATCAATTCATTCTGTATCAATATTATATGAAAATTTGAAATTGTATCTTTGTTAATATTATAGTCAAATACAAATTCAGTCTCTATTTTGTCGGAAAAGTAATATTTTTAAATTAAATAAATGTATACGAGAATAGCAATAATCTTGACTTTTACGTTTTTTCGCAAAATTTTGATAGCTTTAGATAATTGAGAAGTCAAAGATGAGAAGTTATTAAAGCGCTTAATTTTATAAAAATAACATTAAAACCGGTGATTATGTATATCATTTAACTTATTATTTCTGCAATAGAAGTATATTTTTTGTTACTTGAAACTCACTAAAATTTTTTGTTATTAGTTTTTATTTCCTTCAAAGAATTTTTCGAATTCTATTATATTTTCTTAATGTATGGTATAAATCTACGTGAAAAACATAAATAAAACATTATTGATATTGCTTCAAAATTATTTTATAAATTACCAACACTCATATATGCTCCACAATTTTTAACTAAAGTCGTAAAAAAATGTTACACTTCTAACATGGAACTCTCATTTTTCAAAAGCTAATAAAAACAAATTTTATTAATCTCGAAATTTTTATTGTTATTATATCTTTTTAATGTTTGGATCTTCATCTGTTTTTAATCAAAACCAATAATTGAATCTAATAAAATTAGTCTTGCATTGATTCTTACTTAAAGTACAGTTAATTAATTTTCCTAAGTAAAATTTGATACCCAATAAGTTCACGACATCAATTAAGCATTAAACATACTATATAAACATTCTTGAAAAAAAGGAATGAAAATAGAAAGTAAATAAATATTTACATATTACAACAAAAGTCACGGAAAATTTTAGAAAATACATCATTTAGTAAATTTGTTTAAAAAAACTGTAAATCATTCATTTCAACTGCTTTGATAGTAACATAACATTACGATAATCCTTACTGTTTAAATAGGGTTGATGGGTCAATTACCCATATATAACGATTTAACATGAGGTTCGTGAACCTAATGTCCACTTTTGGATGGTTTCCAGGCGGCGTTCGGAGATTCTACCCTGAGATCGTCGACAAAGCGAGCAACTGGGCTACATCCTGCGCAATAAGGTAGGAATGTTCTCACCGGTTATTATGCACTAATATAACGCCCTCAGTACGGTAATTGTCTGCGATAGCACTTGGATTTGCGTTTCGCGCGAATTATATGCTTTATATCTCAGTGAGAAACCTGTTAACGTGGAGTGTTAACGTATAGTGTTTTGTTCGCAAGCATGAAAATTAAGCGATTGTTTTTGATAATTCGCAGCTTATTTTCTTCAAACCTTTTACTGATCATATCGCACAGTTCATCACTATGCTCCCAGACGATAACGTCAACAGTGTGGCTGATAAATAATAAATAGGAGAATTCGTCCATCTCTAGGGAAATAATCGGATTATGCATAGATTATTATCGTAGCTATCGTCTCGTTTCTGTTGGATCAATGAATAATAAATAAAATATTTATTGTTTTGTGTGAATAGAGAGACGTGGTTCTTTTGTATAATATGATTAGTGATGTTGATTGATGATAGTGATTAGCTTAATAAATTAAGTCACGAAAGATATTCAGTAAAATACGTTATGCCTACTTCAAGTAGAAAAAAACATTCATTTATACTTTATTTGTATTTGGAACTGAATGTATAAATTGTTCGTATAAATGCAGTTGCAGTTCGTATAAACAAAGTTCTGTAATTTGAATACAGTATGAATGAGTTTGCAAACTACAAGAAACTACGTATTGTTCAATATGTAATGACGATAACAAACAACAAGATAAGCAAATTAATTATGTGGACAAATAAAATCCGTGCATTGCGGCATGACACGTTTTTTATCATTTACAAATCAAATATTCAACTTTATGCATTGTATTTGTTATTTAATTCGACGAGATGTTTAGCGTTCGATACGTCAAAATGGTATTACGTCGCAAAACGGAGCGGAAATGGAGGGAGCGGTAAAGAGAAAGCACCCCATAAATACGGGGAGGAAAAGAAGAAATATAACACAGAAATAAATATTCGCGTGACGAGATGCAAATCGATTTGGTGAAATATCGAGATATGTCCACACCTCATAATGCAAAAAAAAACTCTACTAAGAGAATTTGCATTCAAAAAAGATGTGTACATACGACAAGGTGTCGCTGGGTTTCTTTTCATCTATGAATTTCGATCAGCTTGGAGCATATAGTCACTTAAAAAAAATATCGGAGTAGACCTTAAATGATTGAAAATGTTATCAACTTTCAATTGAAATTACTTGTACATATAATTTAGTTTAAAATTAAAAAGCTATTAAGTTAAGGTAGCAGTAAACATGAAAAAGTAAAAATTACATACATTAGGAAACTCTTCGTGAATGAAGATCGATTCTCCCCGCTATAAAGAATGTATGGATGAAGGAAAATACCGTCACACGCGTCCTCTGTATACGTTCTTTTCCATATAAATTAAGGCTGCCCATTCGAGTCCACGTCAATCGGAACGAATCGCGCCGGTGGTGGACGACGTTTAAATTAACTTCAATCAATCCTTTCATCCGCCATGCCAGTTATTTATTGCCCGCGCTCCAGTGAATTCTCATTCGAGTTACGTTCTCGTAGGTATGATCGCCTACATGAATTCTAATTACACCTTTTTAGTTCGGCCTTTCGTATTTAGAGATTTGATATCTAGGTCAAGTGAGATTTCAAATGCAATTTATCGCTGCGGTAAAGTTTCTATTTGCGATTCCATCCGTTTATAATTGACTTTCGAGATTTTTCGAAGCAGTCAATTTAATACTTCGTTACTGCACAATGTAGTCTCTTTCCTTAACGTATGTATATGGTACATATCGATTCCTTATTTTATACATGACACAATTAAAAAGATTTTCGAATTATTATCATGAATAAGTTAGATAAAAATTACTTTATCAAAAATGAATTAATTTAATTCATATGAACTTATTTCATAAAAAAAAAACGTCAAAATCGTTACAATTCAAAAAAGAATAAGAATAATATTATTATAATTTTTTTAAGATTAAATTTGGGAAATTTGGGGGGAGGATTATTAATATCTCAGATTGATTGCGTAGAAAATCCGACAATCATATCGGCACGCGATTATAATTCTGAAATTAATTTAAATGAATATATATAATAGTTCAACATCTTAACATTCAGACCGTAATGACGCTATTTAAAGTAATGTATCAAAAAAGAATATTTTAAAAGTTGTGAAACAAAAATGATAAAAATGACATGATCATGATAAGTTAAGAATATTTTTGTTTGCCAATGTTATTTGATTAGTCAATAATTTTCTGTCGAGTTTTTAAAAAATAATGTTTTTCCTCTTTTGGTTTACTTAATTTTTTCAATTGTGTTTTTGAAGTAAGAGAGTGATATGTAAGTTTAATAACTTAATTAATCAAATTTTATGAGTAAAACATGATGAGTTTAGTTGAACTGTAAGCTTATTATTGTTTATTTTTGTAACTTATTTGAGATACTTCAATTTTTATTTAGATTATATAAAAATTGTTAATGTCATTTAATCGGAATTGGATTCTCGATTATTTTTGTTATTCTTGCATATAATGTTAATTAATATCATAATGAATTTATTATAAAGTAACAGGAATATTAATATAATACTTCTTAGATATCTCACAGTTGCTGCAAATGTCAGTGCGTATAAGCCGACGTTAAACAGCCACTTTACTTCCATTTTATGTTACTTCCTCTCCTCCCTCTCCGTATTTTCCTTTTGCGATGGCGAATGATTAATAACGGCACATTACGGGCTTGTAATTTATCAGAATAATACCGCCACACATACAAAAATAATCAATTTACACCAACGTGCCATTTAGCTTCTATTTTCTGGAAGTTAATTAAATTACGGTACCGAGTTAAAGCGTGCAGAAAGGGAGGAAGCTTTAAATTGTATGTTCGCACCGCTTTAATAGTCTTCAAATAAAATTTATTATATAACGTATTATTCGCTATTCGGATTGAGTCCAGCGAGCCTAATGCAACGTCGACTGCAACGCGATGCATCTCTTCTTGAGATCGCCCACGGGGAAGCTCGTGTAAAAGTCAGCGTTAAACAGAGCCCTTGCTTCCACCTGAGTGATTAATAACATCTTGGCGAGCGTTAAACGCTTGTGCTTCTTCAGATTAACAGAGGCAAAAATCGCCAAGTTTGAATGGGAACGCGTATGCTCGCGCCTCTTTCGCTTCTTCCTCCCTCGTCGCCAATTTTTTTTCTTCTCGTGACTTGAGTTATAGCAAATAAAGGAGTAAAGACGGTGGGTCACGCGGGAATATCATGCGACGCCATAAAAATAGTACTTTCCCATGTTACATTGTGAACGAAATCAATGATCACTGATATTTCTTAATGTGAGTGACAGTTTGTAGATTATAAAAATTATAGCAATTTTTATATGTAGGTAAATGACACAGATAAAAAGGTATGAAAATGTCCAGTTCAATCATTCATCATTTATAGGTAAATTATGACTATTGTCATTAAAACTTATAAATATACATATATAATACATAACAATTTTTTATTTAAAATATTTTATATGATAAAATTTTATTTATATGTTAATTTTTTAAAGAGTATTTATAATATCAGATAATCATTTACATTAAACGTCTTTAAATTAAAATTAACATTTTATTTTTTACAGTGTTTACTTGAGACTTCTTGAAATCTTAATTAATAAATAAGACTTAATTAAAAATTGTATAGCTTTCTCGCGTTTCACAGACATTAAAAAACTTGAATATGATTAACTTTCTAGAAATGATGGTGGCTATTAGTGCAACGTAATTAGAAATCTTTTTGTAAAAAATGTCAAACAAGTTCAATTTTCTTTATGTTACATCTGCAAATATGAATTACTTTTATTAAAATATATAAGTATCAGTATTTATTTTTTTAAATGTCATTTTGATTTGAAATTAATTAGTGCTTTTTAATTAATATAAATTAAATGGGTCTTGCGGACGCAGCGTCAGTAATTGTCTTACAGATTTTGGCATCCGGTTAATGGAAGTATTTTTCTCATCGCATATATATGTATTCATACATGTATATGTATGACGTAAATACGAACGTAAAGTTTCAAGATTCGCAAAACTTTTACATGGCCCTTACCCGGTTTAATAGTACAATCCACATAGAAGGGCGAAGTAGTTGATGCATGCAATGCCGAACTCTTTTTCTTTTCTTCACGATGACAGTATTGTAAGGCATATAAACATGGTGAAGCGAATAATAAGAGAGATATCGCCCGAGCGTGTAATTTGTGCGCGAGGATCGGGATAAGGTACTAACGCGAAGGAAAATGGTGCTATCGCGAATGAAATAATGAATAAAGAAGCGAGTGCGCGTTGAGTACGCAAAGTATCTGGCGGAAAAGAACATTCTTTCTCTGTAACGACATCTTTCCGAGATGCTTTATGTGCTTGGCGTATCATAAAGATAAAATCCACTTTCTTGTCTATCGCCTGGTATCGCTCAGGAAAACAAGACATTTCTTCGGTATATAATATGCTCTGTGTTTTTTATACCGCTGTTACGAACTTGATACTGTGCTGGTTTAGTCCGATCAATTTTATGCGATTATTTTGTCGATCGATGTTTCCAACGTCTCATATATTTCATTTTCATTTATATGGTAAATTTCGAAACAAAATTTTATTCTTTATGTCTGTGATCGTTATATCTGTAACCATTTATGTCTCGAATATACTCAAAATTATAACTCATTTCACATGCAAATAAAAGGGATTTTATTCTATAAAGTGTATATTTTCATATTAAATTGAACATTTATGTACATAATTATTTTTTATCGTTTATTATCTTATCGCTTATTATATTAATTTGGAAATATATAAATGTCGATTCAATACTTTTACGTTGTACGTGTGGATTTAAACGCTGAAAGGAAAAGCGAAAGAAGACGAATATACGTGGAAAAATTGCGGAAGTTGTTACTCTGTGTGATAAATAAAGTCGTACTTTCTCGTCGTTGCAAAGAATTGATCCCC